TTTGCTCGCGAAATAGCTATTGCTTGTAAACGCGTAACGCAAAATATTTAATTGCGAATAAATTTGAATGTCATTTGCACGATTTGAATCTCATTTGCGCGAGTAACGCAACGAGAGATTTAAATGTATATATACGCGTAATATATATTGAAGAAAAATAGAAAAAATGTGGAAAATATGCTCCGTTTAGGTGCGTTTCTCGATGCGTGCGAGAAAAATTACGAGTCAAATTCCAGAAAATGGGACCGAAGTGGCGAGACGAAATTGTCCGTCGGAGAAAGCGGACTCGCTCGTTGTTGTAATACGCGTATCTCAAATAGTATTTTTTTTTCTCTTGACTCATGAATGTCAATGCATAATTTAGTTTTTTTTTTTTTTTTTTAAAGAGTACGTTGTATAGCAAAAGTTCCAGCTTTCTCATGCTGTTGCAAACGAATTTTGCGCGGAAATAAGCATAAAAGGAATAAATTTTCATCGGTAATTTGTCTCACCTCTACCCTTGCTTTTTTCGCGCAGTCACGCGGATGTAGACAATAGTGCGTGCATTTTTTATTTTCCCGTATCTAGATCTCGACTTGTTGCGCTATTTGTACGCAAATCGCGCCGTCCGAATAAAGACGAGAGGAGAGAGAGAGAGAGAAAAAAGCGCCTTCCCGCCCCCGGACGTGAATTACACGCATAAATAAAATGCGGCGTTGCGCATCGCGGCACGAAGAAACTATTCGTTACGATGAAGTCTGCGTAACGCATAAAAACGCGTTATCGCATCGCATTACCGCGAGTAACATAAGCCGTGACTTGCGAAAAAAAAAAAAATCAAATGAACGTACCAGTTCCAGCCGACAAAACTCCACTCGATACAAAGTTTTGATTTACATACCCACCTGAGCACCTCTTGCGATTACTGTGCAGCACTTGATGTGTGTTTTTTTTTCTTTTGTATTTGCGCAAACATTATGCGATTAATTGCATTACAAATCGCGTCTGTGTGTCAGTTTTTCTTATGACTCGACAAGTCAAACAACAAGACAAAACAGTAAATCGATTATTGTAATATGCAATAAGTCAATGTTTCAATTAAAATTGTGATTTATTGTGTGTTACTTCTGCATTATAAAGAAATACAAGTGTTTTGTTTTTTTTTTTTGTTTTTTTTGTTTTTTTGACTAACTTAGAGAGCAGAAAGAAATTGATTGATTGAGTTTTATGTATCAAACGCGCTCTGGAGAGAAGAAGTCTCTTCCAAGAATGCGACATAATAATAAAAAACAAAAAATGAAAATAATACAAACAATACGTGAGTTAATATATCGGAGAAAAACAAATAAGTCACACAGGGGATAAAATAAAAGAAAATGCGAGAGAAAGAGAAAGAAAGAGGGAACGGGGGGGGGGGGAATGCGTAATCAGATAATTTGCTTTTTACGTTACACTAGACACGTTGTGCCATATTTTAACGTAGGTTTATACACTTCGATTGTGCGGCTGTGTGTAATGAATTACCTCGCGCATATTTCTCGCTAAAGAAACATTGTGACATACTTGTGGGCAAAAGCCAGAGGTTGCGGAATTAAACTCACACACACACACACACACACATTCTTGCGTGCAACGTGGCCCGTAAGTAAACACGGGGAGAAAGGATTTTAATCATCATGGGGGTATACGTACACACACGGGAATGTGATAGTGGTGTTCTTGCAACACGATATTAACGTCAATCAAAGTACACTTATTCAATTTTTGTGTGGGACACACGCAGCTTTAACACTGACAGAGAGGGGTTGAGTCACATATAAAACTCGATCCGCCTCTGTTGTGTGTGCCTCCACACACACACACACGCTCGCACACACTGTGTGAAGAAATAACTTAAACAATATTTACACAAGCGATTAATCGCTCGGTGTTTATTCCGTGTGGAAATTCTGATCACGTAAAAAAATATCGTAACGAACATTTTGAAAATTCGACCTGTCGAACGATGATGTGATTGAGGCAGAAACTATTTCTTTTCACGGTTTCCGAAGATAAGGCTCACGCCACGTCGAACACTTGTGTGTCACTAAAGTTAAAAAAGAAATGTCCATCCATCTTTCAAAAGAAAAAAGAAAAAATGCGTTTACATTTATCGCGTGTCACCGTATATAATCCTATCTGCATATCTTTCTCTATATTTTACGGAAAGAATGTGAGGTGTTTTTCTTGTTATATTCTTCTCCGTATATACGCAAAGGTCTGAGAATTGTATACGCATTTTTTGAGGGGGGGGAAAAAAAATACGCGCGTCTCACGTCGCTTGGTTTTTTTTTTTTTTTGAAAGCAACTCGAGGATTCTGTACGTTTGCGCGAGGAATAGAGAAAAAAAAAATCGATATATCCGTAATCTCTTGTTTAAGCTATTTTTACACGACGACGACGTCTCTCATTTTTGGCGGTACGTGTACCACCACCCCACTTAATCTCAATCTGCCAAAACATCGCATCGCTCAGCGACAGCACACAATGTACGCGAGACTATCTCTCTGAGAATAATGCGCGTCAGCTGATTCGGTTTCCAGAACGTATGAATGAACGAGTAGTTTGCCAACTGCGGTGATAGCCTCTCATCAATAACATCTTGGCGTCTTGGCTCCGCGAACAAAAAAAGAAAATCGATATCGCTCTACCGTGAAAATCTTCTTCGCTCACGCGCGAGAGAGAAGGATCCGCGTGTTTCTTCTTCCTTTCCGACGTAGTATTACCCGCGTAATTCTCTTTTTCACAGAAAATACGCTTCTTTTTTTTTTTTTTTTTCCCGAAACAGCCTGGCGATCGGACACGAAGATTTTTATTCAATTATGATTCTCGTCACCGTCGGAGCACGCGATATCCCGACGAGACACGTCCTAGGGGGTTTCGACTCTCAGTTGGCACACGTGCGCAGGTGGAGTGTGGTTTTTGCTAGGCTGTTGGTGGCGGCGGCGGCGGCGGCGATGACGCGGTAGAGGTGGTAGCGACGACGGCAGCAGCAGCAGCGGCGGCGGTGGTGGTTTTTTGCGCAAACCGCGAGGTCTCTAGTGGCTTTTTCCCTTCTTTTCTTTTAGTACCCACCCGTGGGTACCACGGGAGGAGGGATAAACTGAGGCAAACAGGGTGGGGAGAAATGCTTGGGGGAAAGGGAACGAAAGGAGAAGCGCGCACGACACCCTATAACCGCGTGAAAAGAAGAGAAGAGGGCCGGTCGTTGCGAAAAAAAGAGAGCGAGCGAGCGAGCGAGCGAGATAAAGAGCCGAAGAGCAGTCCTTCGCTCCTTCCAGCTGGCCTGGCACGGAGCGACGACGAAGGAGGCCTTGTCGCGCGGCTGCTCGTTCGGTCAATGTCTTCTCTTTCTTCCTCGCTCGCTCTCTCCTTTACCCTCGATCTTTCTCTCTCTCTCTCTCTCGCTCGTTGCCTCGCGTCCCCTCCCCCCCTTCCTCCCATCATCTCCTCGCGCTCTTTCTCCCTCTTTCCATCCGCTCCCTCGCGCGTTCCCCGCTCTCTTTCATCGCTTTCTCCCCCACCAGCCGCACTCCCGTGCTGCATCGCGCACACGAGACACGGGTGCCCTGCGAAATCCCTCTGTCATCTTGCGAACGCCCGTCCGCGGCGAGGATTATCCCGCGCCGTGCGCGATCGCGAAAAATCCGTCCGTCGCGCGAGACGTTCTCACACACTCTCCTCTCTCTATCTCTCTGTCTTTCTCTCATCCTCATCATCTACGTTCCGAGAGATCCCGATATAATCTCGCGCGCGCCGCGGATCGTAATATTTATATATATTCGTTTTCTCTCGTTCACATCGCGAACGCGGAGAAAGGGAGAGAAGAACGCGGTGCGTTCAGAAATGTGCGCTCGCGGTATCGCGGTCTGAAGGCGCGTTTCGACGGGAGAGAAGAAGGAAGGAAGGAAGGAGGCGCGCGTTCTTCTTTCGCTCGATCACGTCGGGAGCTTTTTCCGCCGACGACGACGGCCGCGCGCAACAGCGTCGCGAAATTTGTGCGATTGTTTCTCGTCGCCGCGTTCGCGCCTCTTCGTCGTCTTTTTTTCCAATCATCTTTCTCCCCTTCTCGATTCTTTCTCCGTATCCGAGGCGTCGTCGACACGACGACCACGACGACGACGACGTGTTTCTCGATTTTCTCGACGTTCGGGAAACGTCGCCGCAGCCGCAGCCGCAGCCGCCGCGTTTGATCCAGTCGGAGGTATTTTTCACGACGAGATCACACTCTTCCCTTCGCCAGTGTGTGTTTACACGTAAGTGTCTCTTTTGGTGCGTGCGCGATTTAGTGCGCGAAGTCACGAGATTGCGGAGCATGGCGCTCGTTGTCGAGATGTCGTCAGTACGTGGTGTCGTCGTTGCCGTCGTGCATTAGAGTGCGTGGTATCGCGCGGGCGCGAAGAATGAAACTCGACACCGCGGATTTGCGAGCGAGATACTAGCGACTTTCGAGCGTATATTCGATTTGCGGCGACGCTTCGCACTTGCTTTCGTGAGCGCAGGTGAGAACTTACCGTCGTGTTTTTGTTAGTCGTGGGTTGGTGTTGTTTGTTCGTCGTCATTTTGAATGTGCGATTCCCTGGGATGTCAATTTGATCATCGCTTTTTTTAAAATTCAACACACTCGAAAATTTGTTTATGACCGCGCGGTATCTCGGTGTGATATAAATGACGATAAAACGTTGCACAATGGTTCTGGTTTGCTCGTACGATGCGAGCAATATATCGAAAATATATTCCAAAGTAAAGCTTCTGTTTATCAACTTTTGAAGTTAAAATTTTATGGTTGAAAACGTATGTGTGCAATTTTGTTCCGAATATTTAATACACATATTTAATATTTTTACTTTTGCTACATATAATATATTTATTTACACACACACACACACACACACACACACACACGTGTATATTACATATTACATGTACAAAAGTGTCACAAAATAATATTGCTTACGTGTATGTTTGTTTTCTGCTTTTAGAGTGCAATAAAGTTAGCTGGTAAAAATAATGTCAAGAAACTGCACTCATTGCTATCAGTAGTGGAGGAGAAGCCGAAAGTGGATACAGGGCAGAATAACAGGCACAACGAGCATCACATCAAAAACAATTTCAAGCACAACCATTATACACATAATTCCATACTGACACCTTCGACGCTAAACCAGGTAATTGAAAATTTAACAGACTTGATTGGGATTGCAAAGAAAAAAAAAGGATCTCAACAGTATAGTTACATTATATATGAAAGAGAGAACGCATAGCAATGATGCAAAAAATGTTGTTGTTACAGGGCCTAGATGCAGGTACAAGCGACGATAGTGGCAGAGCGTCTGAACAATTGCACGGCCCTGGTATACCTAGGGATTGCCAGGACGCAGACAGTTCCAGGGACCATCTCAGCGATGTAAATTTTATATACATATTAATTATAATATACAGTTACACATAAATTCATATTTTTGAAACCAATTTCTCTTGGTCACAAAAACTTTTGCTGTACATGTAACACAGTTTTTTGTTGCTGAACAAGTATGTAACATAAAGTTTGCGTTCTAAATTTGTTCTGCTACTTAAAAATCTACTTCTGTTATACAGGCTAGCAGTCATTGCAGTTCGGGTAAAGGTTATATCGTAAGTGTTAAAATGTCACAAATGTTATTATTTGTTCTCTCATTACATACAATATATGTGTTAACACAAATTTGATTTTGTTTCAGTGTGATAGTGAAGGAGAAGACGATAAGGTACGTTATCAGAGAATTTTTCAAACAATTTATTGTCTATGAAAATAAGTGATTTTTCTTTAATAATTTTGTTATGTTTGGTTTTTACAGGGCTCGGATGCCGAATCGATACTCTTTGAATCTTCTACCCCACCACCTCTTGCACGTAAATGTGAGTCATTCTTTCAAACAACAGTCGCATATAAAATATAAATACAATAATCTAAACAATATGTTTCTTTTTTAGACGAATTGCCGTCTTCTTCGCCGCACGTTTTGCCACCCGCAAACGGCGCAGGCGGGTCTCCACCGGACACGGGTGGACAAATTTCTAATCCAGCAACGGATGCTCCGGCACCTATACCGCCTTCTGTGCCTGCCTCTGCACCAGTTCCAACAGCGCCGAGTCCTCCCAGCCCTACACTGCCCCCACACATATCCCAGCCTCCTGTAAGTATTTAAGGTTACAAAATCTCTTTTATAACTTGGAGGAGAAGAATGAGATGTAATATTGATTGTTGATAATATGTTGTTTCAGATGACTAGTCCTTTGGCAGCGAATCCACGTGCAATAGCTCCGCAACAGCGGCCAGCTTCCCCCGCCCTGCCACCGTCCTCCTTGTCCCAGCAGCCGCACACTACGATACCTGCATTGCATCCACCTAATGTGCCCCTCGTCTCGTCGAGTCATACAACTAGTCCAGCGGTAGCCAGTTTAGGTGTCACGCCGGCGGCACCGTCGAATGGAGCAGCTACCACAAGTTATCCCCCGCCTATCCCCATAGCCGCGTACCCGCAAACACAACCGTCGTATCCGCCGCTCTACACTCCGTACACCGCTTTAAATCACAGTCCGTACCTACCCCCTGCGGTACCGTCTCCCTCACACTCTGCTTCGTCGCGCGCAGATGTGGTGAGTTTGTACACATATATAACATGTTCAATATTATTTTGTCGTCAAGCACGTCCAAATGTGGGAAAAACATGAATAATTTGTTTTTTTTTTTTTTTTTCAGAGAGGAAGTAGAGCTTCTCCCTGTACCAATATAAGTAAACAGACTGTAGGGAATAATCTTGCAAATCACAACAATACTCCGTTGAGCGCTGCCACCACGACATGCGTATCCACCATAACTAATACAGTTACCACAGCGAACTCCATCGCTCATAGAGACATGGTGGCCTGCAGTCTGTCTGGACGAAACAATAATTCTCCACGTGGACACAGCCCTAATCGAGAAAGAGATAGTTACAGGTAAACTATTTTATTTCGAGCGTAACGCTCATAAATTCCTCGAACATACTGCGAAGTTGAAATACTGTGTAATTTCTTATAATTACCAGAAAATTGTACTGATAATCGTAATGTTCGCTACAGCAGCAACGTGAGTAGTCTAAGTCGAGGCAGTATAACGCCTGTTAGTGTGCCAAACACCTCCTCTCCAGCCAATTCTAGTCTACCTGCATATACCAAGCCACAAGGTTGGATCAGGTGAGTGGATATTGGCTTAAATTATTTGGGAATCGTGTCATTAAAAAAAATTAACTGTTTTTTTTCTTTTTCTTTTTTTGTTTTTAATAAAATAGCAGCAACACAGCTTCCCAATTATCTCCGGCGACAGTTACATCCGTGCCGAGGCCGACTCCACCGCCGGTACCACTTGGGATACACACATTTCCTCCGCCGATGTTTGCGGCGCCTTTGCCGCCGCCTGTGTCTAGCTCGAGCCCGCATACTTCACTGCCTTCACTTCCTCCACCGACGACCAATCCGAATCCATTCTCCGCGGAATCTCTATTCCAAACAAGTGAGTTTATAACCTGATATGTTTTTAATACGTTATTTGCCATTCATGTAAATACGAGCAGATGATAAACGCGCTAACCAAAAGAAGGGGTAACACATGTTCCAGGTCAGGCGGATCTTCTGAGAAGAGAACTTGATAACAGATTCTTGGCATCTCAGGACAGAAATGTTGGAGTTGACGTGGGAAATCTAGGTCCAACGGCATATCTTCGAACGGAAATGCATCATCATCAGCATCAACACACGCATGTTCATCAACATACAACGCCATTGTTGCCACCAGCGGCAGCGACAACGCTTTTTCCACCTCCACTTGTAAGAAGCATATCTTAACGATAAAGCATTATCTACCTTATGTGGTCGATATATGAGTGTTATACACATACACTCGTACATTTATATACATTTGTAAAGCGATATTTCAATACTTATTTTTGTTCCGCAGTTTAAGGATATCCCAAAGTTAGGATCAGTCGATTCGCCATTTTTTCGTGGTAATTTAAATATTTCTGGTTATTCTGGTTTCAACACTGGTCTTCTTCATCACGGCATAGGTCCTTCAACACCTTTTGTGCCGTCTAATCATATATCGCAATTTGCGACAAGAGTATGTTTACACGATTAGAAATTAAATTAATATGATATATTCTATGTTTTTTTGAAATCTTTTTCCTTCAGAAAACTGGAAAATGGAACGCAATGCATGCGCACATTGCGTGGGGTATATTCCGTATTCAGCAGAAGCAAGCTGCTGACGCTAAGGCAGGAAGTGTTGTTAGTACTAAAACTGATTTGTTGAGACCACCAGGGCATCTTTATCCAGGAGGACCAGGCAGTGGACTTGGAATGGGTGCGCCGTCAATGGCACCTCCATTTCCTACTAACATGCCACCGACTCATCCTGCGCCACCTCCGCCTCATCCTGTTGGTTTTCTATCGTCACCAGCTTCACATTTAGGTAATAGAGGTAACGGTAAAGGTTCTGTACTAATTTTACTTATATGTTCGTTCAATATTAGATTAAACGGCTGTATTTATAAAATAAAAATATTATATATATATATATATGTACATAAATTTGTAATTCTATCTTATTATATTACAGGAACAGGAATGTCTCCTTTTGGAAGGTATCCTTCAACATATGGCGCGCCGAATCCCAATTTTCCGAGTCTTTCAACTTTTCCGCCAAGAGAAATGCCATCTTTAGGTGGACTTGGTTCAGTGCACGATCCATGGCGAGGGTAGGTTATTATTGAAACTTTGATCGGTTATTATATTTTTGTATCTTCTACATATTTATAATTTTAGATTGCAACGTGCTACTACTGGATTTCCACCGACTACCGTATCGTGGGGACCAGGATTGAAACCGGAACCGTCACCGATAGACAGACGTGCTGAATTGGAGGAACGGGAACGCGAAAGAGAACGTGAAAGAGAACGTGAACAACAACGGGAGCGTGAACGCGAACGCGAACGTGAACGCGAGCGTATCAAACGTGAGGAGGAAAGAAAGAGAGAAGAACAGCGTGAAAGAGATAGGCGAGAAAGAGAACGCGAGAAAGAGGAGAGGAGGAAACAACAAGAAGCGGAACGTGTCGAACGGGAAAGGCGGGAGAAGGAGCGCCGCGAATTAGAGAGACGCGAATTGGTGGAACGCGAGAGACTACTGCATCAAAATCGGCAACACGCGACAATGTCCAGAGACCGATCGCCGCTTAGAAACGGTTCAGCGCCTCTGGATACCGGAGAAGTGCGTGTGAAGGAAGAACCGCGCAGCAAAGATGATGAGGTTGTAATGCTTCCACGACCGCCAGTACCCGGTCCTGGAGCGGCAGTATCCGCGCCAGGACCCGTACCAAATCCACTGCCCGATCCGAGATATCATCATCCGCATCCGCATGCCTATCTCACTAGACATCCACACGGTATGCCGGGTTCGCATTCCATGCCGCGTAGCATGCTTCCCAGTTTAAGCGCACACCCGATACAACATTTTCCACCGCCATCCGCGCCTACCGGTCAACCGGGAGCACCATGGCCGGGCGATCCTTTCCGGGATTATCGGTACGACCCGTTGCAGCAATTACGATACAATCCGTTAGTGGCAGCCGCGGCGTTCAGAGCGGAGGAAGAAGAACGGGCGAAACTGTATGCCGCTGGCTATCCACCTCCACCGGTGAACGCTCTCAGAAGTAAAGATCCTAGTCCGGGTCCGCTTAGCAACTTACATATGCATCATAGAGCGGGGCCCGGTCCGGGAGTGCCGACGCGTCCGCTTGAAAATGCCCTTATGCACGCAGATATTCACAAGAAGGAGGACGGATCCCAGTCTCGATGATACATCCCGTCTTCATCGGTTTGCGCGAGCGAACGTACCAACGGACCGACATTCTGAGCCACTCCCCACTCCTCAGCAATGCTCAGAACTCAATATTTTGCTAACAGAGAGAAGCGTTATTTAAAACAAAAAACAAAACAAAGTGTATATACAGATATATTATATATACATATTATATATATACATACATATATATATAATATTTATAATTATCGAGAAACAGTACGAAATCGCGTAGAACTTCTACAAGAGAACGTAACAAAGATGCCTTGCTAAGAATGATGACAGGTGTTCGGTCAATAACTGTGGCTACGGAGGCATCGCTAATGTGTCACACAAATAATCACGTTGACATTTATATGTGATTTCTGCAGTTTCGGTGATCTGACTGTCTATAGTAGTAACGAGCCCCAATTATTACGACGATAACTATGCATACAGTTTAAAACAAAAAAAAAAAAAAAAAAAGTATCGTGTGTAATATTACTAGTTACTATAGAATATGAAGCGATGGCTACGTAAAAAAAAAAAAAAAAAAAAAAAGAGGAAGAAGAGAAAACAAATCCGAGTTAGGAAAAAAAAGAGTTAAGCGGATCTCTATTATTATTATTATTATTATTCAAAAATTATTTAATTATTTATTTATTACGTCGTATAAACGAACTTGAATCTCTACCCTACTGGAGTGTGTACGAATGCGGACGTAAGAAGTTTGCCCTTAATTTAACGTTGTAATATAAAAATCTCTGATCGAATGTGTAAATTTTACTCCTTAGATTTTAATTTGTACATTAGAAACGATAGAAGGGGAAGAAGGTAAGGGCATATATAAAAACAAAAAAAAGTGTTCTTTGGCTTTCGGCAGCACAAGTTGCTTTTTTCTTTTCTTTTTCTCATTTATATGCTGGATTATACAGCGGCACTTCGGTGCTATCCTGTGATATATAAAAAAAAAAACAAAAAAAAAAAGGCCGGTTCAACTATAGCAAATGATTTAATTTCTTATCATGGATCGTTACAATATAATATCAGAAGTGCAAAAGAAATCAAATTATCTTCAAACAAAATTTATGACAATTGGATTTCTTTTGAAAAAAACATCTTTCGAGGAAAAAAATAAAAGAAAAAACACTGGATGATGCTTAATATAACAGCAGTTTATCCGTGCCAAAGTGCTTAAATCAAAGAATATTTAATACCATGCATGTGTGCACAGCATTCAGTTTTTCTTTTTTAAATGTTTATAAAAAAAAAAAATTTTTATAGTGATTTTATCCCTCTTTTTTTTTAAACTATTTTTCTCGATTATCAGCCATATATATATATATGCATTGTTGTGTTACCAGAGAGCCAATACGATATATAAGAGAGATCTCTTTAAAAAAAAAAAAGGTTCTGTGCCATGGACCAGGTTTACATTCAAATATCCCTGGTGCCTCAAATGAAGAGAGAATGTACTTTTTAAATAATCAGTTTCTCAGTCTTTCTCCGCGTTTCGTTTATATTACCGTAAAAAAAATCACCATAAAACTTGTATATTGTACAATTACTAATTATACACGCAGTTTAAAAAAAAAAAAAAAAAAAAAAAAAATTGTAGATATTTTTCATCGATGCGAAGTTACAATGTGATGCAATGATTTTGTTGATGTAGATATCTCAAAGTATAAAAAGAAGATTTTGTGTGAATAGGTTTTTTCTAAAATTGATTCTTTGTAAAAGGATCTAATAATCATAGTTTCTATCAATCTTGTTGTTTTCAGTATTCTGACCAATATCCTGTAACACACACTTTTTACGTATGCAAGACGTTTACAAAAACGCATACTCTCCCACAGTACGTGTACGTGTACCACATCCATTTCTTTTAAATTGTTCTCAGATTTTTGTTATCTTTTTCGCGCTCGTCGTATATTATCGTTATTCGGAAAACTATGTAATAATTTTTCAAGTTTACGTGTTTGTGTTTTGTTACTTGATCCACGCGCATATGTATAAGATTTATTAATTTGAACGTACACTAGCGAGTTGATTGCGTAATTGTGTAGACGCGAAGTGAAAAATGTGCATACCTTACCTGTCGCAATGTGCACAATCACGATTACTCATTTTTTTTAAACGTCAAGTACGCGCGAATAAATGGATGTAGGTGACTAGAAAAAATCTGTATATAACGTACACGTTTTTAAAAACAGATATACTAATTTTTTTCTACATGTATAAAAAGTGGGTCTCCGTGTGTCCTTTTTGACAGCGTATCTCGTGTAATTTATATATATAAAAAAACGTTACAATATGTTTTCGTAAAAATTTAAGGAAACAATTAACTGTAAAAATGTCACACACTACTGCACATACTGCGAAATTAATGTATTTTTCTTACACAATATGGTTATAAGATATACCGTTGGACACTGAATAGTAATATTTATAACCAAGTTTTCGTGATAGAGCGAATTTTGCATAAACTTATCCTATAGTACTTTGTATTTTTTTGTATTTTATTGTTTACCAATGACGCGATTTATATCGTAATTTTCATCATCATGTCGATATTAATAGTTTTTTATTATGTACAAGAGAAACTGTTTATCGGGAGCTACTCGAGCTCGACCGAGTATAACGACGATGTCTGTGTCGTTGATTCCCGGGTGGGCTTCGCGATCGTGTTCTTATTCTACGTCGCGGCGGTCGTGGACTTCTGCGGCGATTCACGGGTGGCGAACGTCTGCGATAACGCGGCGGCGTGTTTCTACCACCGCCTCCCCACCGTGGAGGTGCCCGTCTTCCCATTCCAGGAGACATGCGACGCATGGGCAACGGGCGGGGTTTCGGCAATAATACCGGAGCAGCTGTAATTTCTTGTCCGTCGATCTGACCTGCAAATCAAAACAATCCAGTGCAAAATTTCTGTCAACTCGATAAAAAAAAAAGAGCGACTGATTAAAACACAGAAGTCAAACTTACCCCCGTCCATGTGCTTCATAGCATTTTCTGCTTCGTCCGCAGTTTCAAATTCAACGTATGCGAATCCCCGTCCTTGATTGGGATGAAGTTTGTCCATCGCAAAATCAACCATTTTTATATTGCCATATGCTGAAAATATCTCCATAATGTGCTCCTTCGTCACATTTCTTGTTAAGTGTCCAATATGTATTTTTGTTGGTCTAGGAATTGGAGAGCGTTCTCTGCGCTTTCTACGTGGAGAAGGAGATCTGTAAAGATTAGAAATCAATCAGCAAGTTTTGCTATGATAAATTTGTTAATTGAAACACACGCAAACATTGTGCGTAAAAGATACGCAAACCCAATACCTTGAACGTTTAGCTTTGGGTTTTTCAACAATAGAATTACTCTTTTTCTTTTCTTTTTCACGATCGCGCTCCCTGTCTCTGTCTCTATCTCTTTCTCTCTCTCTTTCTTTGTCCCTTTCCTTCTCTTTGTTATCGTGTCTTCGTGAGGCATCAACGCTCTTGCTGCGACTTCGTTTTCTACGATCTCGTGAACTACCCGAGGAGCTTGGCGAGCTACTACTTGAACTAGTGGAAGAAGAGCTCGATCTTGAACTGCTATTGCTGCTAGAAGATGAAGATCCAGAACTGCTATCTGATGAGCTATAAAACCATAATTCCCAATGTTTCGTTAACAAACTTGTATACAAATGTAGGCTCACTGGCGTATTAAAATATTTGCCCACTAACCTGCTACCACTGCTCGAAGAAGAAGCAGCTCGCTTTTTGCGTTCTCTATCCCTACCTCTATCTTTTTTGTTCTCCTTATCTGTGGCTTCGGAGTCGCTCTTGCCCGTACTGTCTTTCCTACTTCGAGCCCTAAACACAAGAGAGACGAGAGAAAACTTAAAAATCAAAATAAATTTGTTTTAACACATGATATCGGTTAAATTCACTCACATAATTTATATGTGATGATAAAAAAAAAAAGAAAGTCTCAGCAACAATTCTTCATTCGACACATGGAAGAAGACTTCGTTCAAGATACGCCCGAAATGACGGGACTCGCTCGACGTCGTGTGTAAAATATACCGCGGACGCTGCGAAACGGCGGCTAATGGCGGCTACTACTGGAATACACAAAATGGTATCACTTGTAGGCGATGTTTCGTTCCAATTACCGCGCCAGCTGCGCGCAAACTAATTTTAATCGGTCAAAATGATTGACGTTATCTAATGGTGAATAAAAACAAATAATATCGTTTTGCACGATATGTTAGCACAATACAAAAAAAAAAAAATCTGATATAAACGCAATTACTGTTGATAAACGTTCCGCGCCGGTGCCACCAGCCGGCGGAGCTAGTGTTGCTGGTGATGAAAGTGAAACTCTTAAGGCCCGTACATAAGACACGGACGTGAGTCGCGGATCGCACATCTCTCGCAGAATTAACAAATCACGTTGATCGATTGACACGTAAATGTCGGCGTATGGACTGCCTTTTATAGCCCGCAAGCCACAACTGCACCAACCAATCACGTAACTTTAAAATTGTGACTAAAGTAAGATATTACGTGATAGGGAGAGGAGAAAGCCAACATGTGACTGAAGTCACGTGACTTGACTTCAGTCACGTGATTGAAATTACGTGACTTGACTTTTAGGCCTAGTTTATGCGGGCAATAACTGTTAACTTATGCCGGAACTGATAGAGTTTAACTATAGGATTTCAATGCTTCTGTTTATACGCATCCGGCAATTTTGTAAGGCCTTAGGCCTGTTCTACAATACAGTCGTAAGCCGTAAGTCGTAAGAAATTGACCAATCACAATCAATTATTCTTCTGTAATTTGTCTGTAATTGGTCGATTTCTTAAGAGCCGTCTACAATGGAGAGTTGTAGGCTGTAATAGTAAGAAATTGACCAATCACAGACAAAGTACAGAAGAATAATCGATTGTGATTTGTCAATTTCTTACTGTTACGGCCTACAACTCTCCATTGTAGACGGCTCTTTACGACTTACAGCTTACGACTGTATTGTAGAACGGGCCTTAGCAGAACGATTGCTGAGTTGTCGTCTTGTCAACATTCGATGTTGATTAGTTGGTTCTAAATGTAAAAACCAATCATGTTCGATCGCTACAAAGCGGCTTGTTCTGCTGAACGCAGCCATTCGCTTTTGTTGCGCATGCACTTTTACCGAAATTTAAATAGTGTATACAAAACGTCCGACCAGATGAGAAGGAAAGATCAGATGAGATCAGAGTAAATTTGTTATATATATACTCTATCTACAAAATTACCATCTTATTTAACTTATATATATATTGTTTTGTCGTTTAAGTTTTTGATTCCACTGAATTTCTGTTATACAAGAGAGACATGACAACAAGACTTCAAGATTCCAATAAACTACCGTCCGCACGTTGTCTTCGCGATGTGTATTCTCACGATCTGCAATTGTACAAGAACGTTCCGTTCGGGGAATTAATGCTGAACGAATTGCAAGAACTGTGCAAGACCCGGCTCATAGGTTGACTTTTGTTATATCATGATATATTTATGACATATTTATGTTATCTGATTCAAAAGCATATTATTATGTGATTTATATAAGATGCGTTTTGCATGTTACACAGTTCTCACTTTGGTGGAACGTATACATTTACAAAAACAAAATGTATCTGTATCACAACGCAAATCTGTCTTGGTGGAAATGCTCCGCCAAAAAGGACTGGACGAATTTGCAAGATTGATCAGTAGCTCGGGATGTAAATCGCATACAGATATGGATTTATGTGTCAGAAGAAGAGATCATATATCTCATTACATATTGAGATGTGCAGTTGCCTTTGATAAATGTAAGAAGCGTTGGTTTTTTAAGCAAGAAGCAAGGCTGTTTAAGTGGAGATTTTCTTCATTGGATAATGAAGGATTGAGACAGTTCATGTATATTAACAATTTTGATTTTACACCTGTTGGTATTTTGTTTGTGCTTTTTATCATCTAAATTTAATAATATCCAAACTTGTACACATGTTAAACAAAAAAAAAAAAAAAATTTAATTCTTTTCTGTAGATCAGCCAAAGCGAAAAAAAAGATATTAAGGAATATCTTGAAATGTCGTCCGCATTCATTAATGACGTTAATAGCGCACAATTTTACAAAATATCTTTCTGCTGTGTACCTAGTTTAATTAAAAAGCGTAAAGTTCTCGTTATAAACGGCGAAGCTTTTGTGCCTCAACAAGAAATGATGTTTGCGTTTGTTCCGTACTTCAAAGCGATTCTAATATCACGTTTCGAGGCTGCGAGAGAAGCTAGAGCTAATTTGTACAATGATGAAAGATTTACCAATATTTTTGCTAAGTTAGAAAAAATTATTCATATTGAAAATGCTCTGCTAGTACAAGACGCAATTGTGAAAGAATATGTTTCGCTTGATCAATTAGATGAGGTAAATATTGCTGTAATAAGTTTAAAAGTAATAACATTGTGTAAGTTTAACATGTTAAATATTGAATTTCTTTACGTCGGTGTTTGCTTTGTCCTAGCTTTCAGAAATCTCTTATCCTCTCTGCATGAGAGTGCTTCACAAAGCGCTGAGAAAGAATCATCATCTCACTCATGGCGGCAGAGTGCAGTACGGTTTGTTTCTGAAAGGTATAGGAATTTCGTTGTCAGATGCGTTGAAATTTTGGAAAAACGAGTTTACAAAAATAATGGACGAAGCCGCGTTCAAAAGAGAGCATATCTATCAAATAAAATTCCTTTACGGAACGGAAGGTGGTAGACGAGATTATCAGCCTTACAAGTGTCGAAAAATCATGGAATCGGTTGTCGGACCCAGAGACTGTCACGGATGCCCTTTTAAACACATGCCGAGTAACACACTTGAAAATGAACTTGCTGATTGCGGTTTCAACGCACCAGGTAATTTAGAATTATTAATCTTAATGCATAATTTATACACGTTTCTGTGCTAACTTGATTCACGACAAACCAGAAAGATCAACAATAATGGATTTAACGAAGGACGGCTTGTATTCCGCAGCCTGTACCAAATATTACAACATCAAACATGATTGTATCCAGGATACTTTAATTGAACACCCGAATATATATTTTAACGAGAGTGTAAAACATCATCATTTGTGTCACGGTGAGGTGTATTTTATTTTGTTGTTTTTGTGTGTCAATTTTTACTGTTTTAACTAAACTTCATGTCACATTAAAATTAAAGATGTAAATCCGGAAGTAGAAGATATACGTTAATTTATTGTACAAGAAACATCTGGAGAAATTGGAACACACTGTTAGGACCGTTGCAAGATATATTTGTTACTGTAAGTTTTGTATAAATCCTCTCTCTCTCTCTCTCTTGTAAGTATACATAGTTTAAGTTAAATTATAATATATAATATTGTTTTTTGTTTGTTCAACGAAACTGTTTCTCGAGATAATCACAAGTCGTTACTCGATTGATATTATCCTTTGTTACTAACTTATTATATATTGCGAGTTTTTTTTATTAATTCTTTTTGCTTCAAATCAGATTGTCTTTATTATCGTGAATGAATGAATAATCACATAAGCACGTTTGTAATGAAAAACGATGGTAAAAAGATTTGACCGATATTTTGCGGTAAAGTTAATTTTTAGTATCTGTACATTTTTTGTTTTTTTTTTGTTTTTTGTTTTTAATAGAGCAATACACTCAAGTGCCTTTCGAAACTTACGAAAAAAACTTAGAGCATAACAAACAGTGCATATGAAAAATACAAGTTTATGCAATATATTTTTTTTTTTTGTTTAGTAAAAATACTCTCCGAGTTAAATATACACACATATTTGTTGTTTTATAATTAAAAATGATTTAATTTAAAGACGCAATTAATTCGATAAGTTTCTGTTTTTATCCCTTTTTTTTTTTTTTTTTTTGTAACAAAATAACGGCTTAACACAAAAATAGAAAATATCACATCCAAAAATATTGCCACGACACAACACAATACACTTCACTATGTTTCATGATGTTTATTCTGTAGATTACTGCGGCGATACGTAAGTACCGAATAATATATATGTTATGTACATTCACAAGTGATAAAAGTAACGAGCGATATTTATGTACAAGTACACCGAATTATAAACACTTAACACTCGTCATACCTTATACATTATTTAGTCAATTCGTAACGTTGTACCGTTGTCTTGTTTAAATGCTATTTCAAGCAAAAAACTACACAATCGAGGAGCACGGAAATTTTTTGGCACAATTTGTCCTTAATAAGAACAAAAAAAAAAAAAAAACAAAAAAAAA